CGAACATGTATCTGTTTTTTTGTCCACCATTCTCCAACTGTTGGCCACCCAGGCGGTATGAAAGCGACGCCGCAAGTATTCAGTATCTCAAATGCTTTCAGACTGAGGTACCACTCTCACAAGAAAAGGGAGAAAATGTCAGAAAAACATAGGAAACAGAAATCAAGGAAATATGTTTATCATGTAGTCAGAATGTCTTCACAATTTCAAATTCTGCTGACAGTGGAAATGAAATCCAGTGGAGATGCAAAACAATTTTTTTCTTTTTATGTAAATGTATAACTTCATTGCTAGAGAATAACCAGTCTTTATTATCGCACGAAACAGATTCCATTGGGCGTAAAAGGCAAAATAGCAGACAAAATCATCAGTGATGACACCAAGAGTTTGCAAGGGTAAGCATGTCCTGCCCGGCCAGTAGCACCCACCACTCACACAATTTGCATGAAAAAGTATTTGAAACCACTGCTTTCTCTTAGCAGCTGGACTATCATCAGTTACTAAACCAAGTTAGCAACACCAAATATACACAGGTAGTGACTCAGAAAGAAATGCTAGTTTTAACAATGTTAAACATCATTTGAAATGAAAGATTGAAGATTACAGAATGGATTTTGTCACTTTTATTTGAATGTTTATCTATTTGGTGAAACCTATGAGCAAGGGTAAGAGCTAAAGACAAGGGATCAAATTTGGTATTCAAACCCAAGACCAGCAGATCCTGGCATCTGAGGGACACAAACCTGCACAGCAAACTGAGACACCTTAGACCACTGGGCCTCAGATGCCCTCCGATGTATTTTGAACTATGGCACAACATATATCCCTTAAAGAGACAAGTATTAGGAATAAATACTTCATGCAGTATGCATTACCTGACAGGAAGACCGAGATATGCTTGGTAAGAAAGGAAACTATATACTTGTGAATCATATGTCTCCATATATATATTTTCATATATAAGATAGCTACATGATAAATCACAAAGAACAATGAAGAACGGAGCTGATTTATTTCACAATAAAACATTGTTCTATCATAACGTCATTTCTAGCAACTTGATGACGCCATATAGTGGACAACGTTATTTTTGAGAGGGGAGTGTCTAGTGAGTTGTTCCCCATAGATGTAGCTGGGCAATGCAGATAAACACGATGGCCGAATGATCGCATCTATAAATGGAAGAGATGTGACAATCGGTATTGGGAGAAAAGGTACAGATAATCACCATGATGATTGTGAGAATATGCGGGAAATACCCACCTGTTTATGAACCTGTGGACCTTGCTGAGGTAGGATGCTATTGAGGGAGTCATCATTATTAAAATACGGGTAAATATTTTTAAAGCTTGTAAATTTTATCACTATCCTTTAAGAGGCTGTACATAATGTTGATATCTCATAAAAGAAATAAACGACTCGTGGTCATTGTTTATCGTACAATAAAACACTGCAGGGAGAATAAACCATGAGGGGCTGTGCACCTCATTGTTTATTCTCCCTGCAGTGTTTTATTGTATGTGCACCCCTCATTGTTTATTCTCCCTACAATGTTTTATTGTACGTGCACCCCTCATGGTTTATTCTCCCTGCAGTGTTTTATTGTACGATAAACAACTCCCTCTCATTAATTTCTCAAATATAGGACAACCATTGTTTGAAGAATATCTAATCAACATCGTAGCACAAATTCCCTTAAAGTGTACTCTATCACAAGACTGGACCCTGGTATGCATTTCCAGACAACAAAGACCATACTAATTCCCTTTCACATTAACTATGGCCAATTCAAGGTATTACCGGCAATTCCAGGAAACAGACAAAACCAATAACCCATTCCGCAGACATGGTTTGAAGTGATTTGACAAGCCTGGTTGGCCTAAAACATCAATTGAGCATGGTAATAACCTGCTTCTTGTTGACGTTACTTTACCTCTGGCAAACAGGAAACCAGATGCATGTTGGGTAATTGACAAGAGCAGTGCTGTTGAGTTTCATTAGAAGCCTTAATTTGTCATGCTTTTGCCAATATGCCCAATCCATGTCCATGTTTCCTGGTAGCACAGCATTTGTTGAGCTGTGTCATGTACTCTCCATGTCAAATTGGGAGAGCTTGAGGAATAAATTTGATTTCAGTGTGCAGTTTTGGATTATCGGAAAAATGGAACATTTATTGCTGAATGGGAAATCAAGATTAAAAGATCATTGTCTTAGGAGTACTGAAAGTAATATCTGTGAATTGTGTTCTGTTCAAGTGTTTAGTTCCTGAGTGGGTGGTGATCAGCTGTTCTGCAGTACATGACAATTTATTCAGAAGTATCACACCATGCTTAATAAAATACAGATTTGGTCCTCCATCAGAACAACCAATGACAAATAGTGTGACCAAATCTGATGTGTTATGCATTTTACCCTTTGATGGGTGGACCTGTCCTATATTTTAGTTAACAAGTATCTTTTTATACTTCATTTTCTGTGACTTTTCTCACCCAGGAATTCATTTTTAAAAAGACTGTTATCATTATTCAATGTTATGTTCGAATTACACATTTTCTTCAAATAAAGACAGAATGATTTGAACATTTGTCCCAATCAAAATGTCACTGTGGTAGCTTTACATTTGAGTAAATAACATGGTCACATGTGTGATGTGGAAACTTTTAAAATGAGATTCAGAAGTAAATAATAAGTATAAAATAACATTTGCATATAAGTATGAAAACAGATTTACAATAAGATGTGTTTTTGCCTAAACATATTTAAATCATCATAGATTTTTTCATACAAGATGTCCATCAAACACACTAAAAAACTTATCCAAATGACACATTCTCAAACTTTGAATTCATGAAACAACCTGTATTTGAGAAAAAACTAATTCTTAGACATCAACCACAGCCCTTAAGACATAGCGATACACGTTATTCTTCTCAGGCTTCTGGCTTTTGATACTTGAAACCAAATTTTCTTATGAAATGTCAATCATACATAGGAAAGTAGTATTACATGTGACAAATCGAAAGAAATATTCATAGCCGATGGATTTACTTGTTTTCGAAAGCGAAAACTGGAGCAATTTGTTTTGTTTTTATGATATTCTCTACCCAGCCTAGACATTCTCTTGTCAGTAGAACCATGAGGTTTAGGTACTTGTACCACAAGCAGACAGCTTCGGTTGCATGCCAGAGCCAATTTGGTAATACCCATGTAAGACCTTCCGCAGAAATACATAGCCCAGTTTCTGACAAGCTAGATTCAGTTTCTTTTTGGTATAATTGGGCAGCAACAGGAACTGAAAAAGTGCCTAATTTCACTGGCTTATTGCAAGAGATATTATAAAAAGAACAATGATGGATGAATGGAAGAAGACATTTCTTCTAGATGTAGATGAAATCGTGTTGTTGTATCATTCATCCATTACCAGTGTGACACAAAAAGTGAAATTGTGCTCAGATGTGTTAGTTTTGTAATCGTAAAAAGTGAGATAGAAATTGGTTTGGTATTACATGATGTGTTCAGAAGCCACCTGCCTCCTGTACTCCTGGCATGTCAACCACTTCTTCTACCTATATCCCTTTCCATCTATAATCAGTATGCTAACTGGAACATGGAATTTCATCTTTTTAACATTTTTAACCCTTCTTATTATATTTACAAATTATATCTGTATTTTCATTGGTTGAAAAAGGGTCACACAAGCTTCTTTAAAACATGCTGTGCAGCGATCAAAAATTGGTATTGCACTGTGTGATTAAGCCAATGAACTCAAAATAGAGAAATAGTTCAAGCCAATCAGCATGAGCGTAATGCATAGCTTATTAAAAGCTCCAACTGAATTTTTTTAATTTTTTTCATATTATGTAATCAAAAATTTTGTGTCCACAATACAGGCAATGTCATGTTTTATGGACCTAAGAAACTGACCTGCCTTATGAGTGGTCAATAATTAAGAAATATCAGCAGTTGTACAGTCATTTTATAATCATATTTTGTTAGTTGCCAAGTATACATACAATGTGAAACGTGTGATAATGATAAAATATCTAAGGAAGACCTTTCTCCACCATACACACTAAGTTAACTCACAAGATTACAAGAACAGAAGAAACTAGAGGTATCACCATTGATGTCATAAATACAAGAATGGGAACTTACAAATTTCACTTGTTGACACCAGATAAGAAAAGTACTACATCCCAGCTGCTGATACCCCTGATTTTTGCATCCTCCACTAACTACTCATGATCTGTATTTTGAATACTTAAGTACTGCCACCCAGAAGACCAAGAATTAATGTCAGGATAAGTCTTGTCTTAGTAATTTTCATCACATTTCTTACAAGTGTGGTCATAAAAAACTCTGTCAGGTTGAAGTCTGTCCTCTCGGTGCCACCTCACACCAGAGTCATCCTGAGCATTAGTGACGCAGTGTTGAGATATTTTCCATACAACACATACAAATGTCAGTAGATATTCATGTCCCAGAAGTTATTCTTACATGACTAACATGACACCACACATCAGTGTGACTTTAAAGACAGGATATCTTGTTTCAACATTGAAATCGTTTCTAGTTACCATTTCCATATATTCCAAAACATCATTAATTTGGATGTTTCTGTCAGTGCTGCAGCCCTTGTCTGTGGCTTTAAAATTTATCTTTCATTATTGTTTTAGACATCTCCAAATAAAATTCTCCTTATCTCTCATACCATTGCTTCCATTACCATTTTTTAAAGGTCTTAAAAATTTAATTGGCTTAGTCTTTGAGTTCTTTTTAACTTAAAACATCATTAACCTAGTTCTAGATTGTTTTTAAACAGATAATAATATTGCCTCAGTCTTTGAGTCTTTTGTAAATCAAAAACAATATTGACCTTGCCCTTTAGTTTTCTTCAAGTCAAAAACCTCATTGCCCTAGTCTTTGAGACTCCTTTTTATTTGCAAGGTATGGTACATCTTGCACCACCACATCCAACAATAACCACACAAGTTACTTACTTTAGTGATGCCATCGTAGAAGGCTTTGCGTGCCAGTGTTGCTGGACCATCCACAGTGCGGCCATCATCATCTGGACCCCAACTGGCACTGTAGATGTGTATATGCTGGGGGTTTAGACTGAGAGATTGGGCTTCCACAGAGTCGGTTACATCCCCATCAAGCATGCGGACACCTACAACCAAGAAACAAAGTCAGAAAATGGGTATTTGTCAGCTACATTACAGCCATATAATCAGGCTGCTTGTGTGAAAGATCCTGGGGCAAATTTTGTGGTTGACAGAGTGAGTATCAATCCATTGGTTCAAAGACACATTGCAATGTTCATACCTTAATATTTGACCTTCCCTGGTCACCTACCTAGGTATATCCACAGCCAGAAACTACTGTGGCTAACAATGATGGTGTACCTGGCATATTCTTCCACAAAATCTGTTGGGACTTTATTATATTATTTCCTTCGCAGCAATTTGTGTATTGAATGCTTCCAATGTATGTAGCCTTAAAGTATTAGACATGGAGACTGAATGTAAGGTCAATGGTGTCGATTTACCATCAAAATGCTGCGGTACAATTGTTGTACATAGCCCTTAAAGTATCAGAAATGGAGACTGAATGTAAGGTCACTGGGGTTGATCTACCATCAAATTGCTGCTGTAAACCAATAATTGCCATTTTGTCATTGGAAACAGACCATATACCTCTCAACTCATTCTAGCATTTCATGGATCAAGCCAGCTCAGCACGAATGGCTTGCATCACGTAGGAAGGAAAGTAGAAATCAATGGATAATATGACCTTATATTACATACACCACCCACTACTCCCACTGCCTCATAAAACCTTCAACAGCTTTATTTTAGCCTTGCTGATTGGCAACAAATGAACCTACTCCCTACAACACATGTAGATCACTAATGCACCTAAGGTAATGTCTGTCAGATGGGAGTGGGGATAAGGCTTCCATACAGGTATTACAGCACTTCCAGACCTTGTGGGTGGGCGGTGTCATGGTGTGGGTAATGAGATGGTGACACTAATTCTATACATTTGTATGTCAGATTGTTACCATTATTTTGAGCAAGCTTCGCAACTACATGTATAACAAATGGTGTATTATTAAGCTTGTGCAGCTTTCCTTCCTTGGAAGAGTGGGTGTAAACATGGTGCAAGTGCAAATGGGTGAGTGGCTAGGGGGGTGAGATGCGCATTGCAGGAATAGGATAAAAAAAGTAAAGAAGAGGCGTAGGAGTGTTGAGGGAAGATGGTGGTGAAGTATGGGAGTGAATGGTGTTTAATGCCACAGGCAGCAGTATTCCAGCTACCGGTAAAAACCCGAGGTCAGCATGATCTGTCTTCAACCATATTTATTAAAGATTTGCGAAGCGACTAGATCTATGGCAAATATTATGTAAAGAATATTATCAAGTGTTCTAAATTTTAAAATTTAATAAAATCTGTTACACAATTTGTGTAAAACATTTATTTTATTTTTTTTAATATTTTTTTCACCTGCCCGCTTTCTTCCTGGTTATGGTTGGAGATGAGAAACAAATACAAAATATGGATGGCCAAAACCAGTGACTGAAAACATGATCCACATTCCATGCCATCGGGGCATGAAGACACAATCAGCCACATCACAGCCTGACCAACTGGTTCCCTTTAGTCTCTATGACACACATACTTAAGGCATAGTTGGAATCATAAAGAGACTCTGCTTTTAGAAGAGGCTTCCTATCATTGTGAGTTTTGTCACTTATATTTGGAACTCGGGGACCTTTCTTCCCTGGAATCCATATGGGGCATGATAGTAGGAGTTGTGCTGGAGCATCAGATTGGGAGAGTAGCAAGGGATGTTGAGACAGATGGGTAGGCAAACATTCGTCTCTGTTATTAAAATACATTATGATTTCTTTTATGAAATTGTCTTTTATATAATAGAATTTAGCTCATAGAATCTCTTCTTTTTCAGAAACTTGCCAAAGTATTGTAGACTTGCTTTGGAGTTCGTGGATCGTTTTGTTTCAGGGTCTGTATTAGAGACATATTACACTGACTCCAAGCTGACCAGTTCTTGTTACCCAGTATATCCCCTTAATGCTCAGTGCCAGGCAGGGCAACAAGTCTTATCTTTTAACATCTTTTGGTATGACACAGCAAGGGGATCGAACCACCAACCTTCCACTCTCAGTGTGAATGTTTCACTGTGTTAATGTGTTAATGGTTGGGAAGTGGAGGAACAGGAGGCAGATTAGACTGCTGGTTAGAAACGATGGGTGGGTTGGTGACAGGGCCAAAGTGAATGTGAATACATGGAAGGTGTATACACAGTGTCAGACATGTGCAGCTTGAATTCAGAACACTTGTTTGGTGTCACGGGTGGACAACAGGTTGTGGAAGGCTGGCTGTTTACCTCCGATATTGGCTTCGAATGCTACTCCAACGCTGCACACATTGTTGTCGGCCTGTGCTGCCACCTCTCCAGCACATCTTGTGCCATGTCTGAAACATTCACATATACCAGCTGTAGAGAAACACAATGCTCCATCTTCAAGGCCTGTGCAAAAGTCATATGACATCATGAACCATGTTCAATCATAATCCAGAAGAAACAGTCAAAATGTATGCCGAATAAACCACAACATAATTTTGAAAGACAACTTAAATGTGGAATAATACACATCTCATCTTTACTCAGTGGAAGGAGGTCGCAATGTAATTTGACAAAATGTAGTAAAGATGATCATTATGGACTATCAAATATTCACTGTCATCTTAAATATGATTAACATTGACCCTGGGTAGTAGTATTTTGCCAAGTCGTGCATCAAGACTGGAATGTAAGCATTTTGAAATTTAATACTAATCTAGATTATATAATAAGCAAGTCTAGCCTGATGTATTCCACTTGAATATATGAAATCAGCGTAAGAGAAAAATGTATATTGTAATAGAAGACTTTACAGACTATATGTCAGTCTATATGTTGATCTTTTTACCTGTTTTCATTGGAGTAGTCATATCGAGGCTGGGGGTCAGGGTCATGACCATTGACATCATAACTTGCTCGGTCATCCTGAAGTAACAAGATAATGAAAAATTTATAATTGATTGATCGAAACAGAACTTTATATCATTACACATCAACTGATTGAAATTAACATTTAAAACAACTCAGCTCAACATAATCATTGAAGGAAAGAGACCTCTTTTTCTATTTGCTAAAAACTTGAAATGTATCAAAATGTTTTCCAGTCGGAAACACATGGATGTCATTCTACAGATTGGCATGTATTGAACAACATTTGTTGTGAAACTAAAATAAAATGTTTGCATCTAAAAACAACTTTCTGTCATCCTCTCATCATTATCATCATCATCATCATCATCTTCAAACTTTCAATTGTTTCTGCCATCCTCTCATTATCACACTTCATCACGAAAAACCATCATTGTTATTGTCACCGACACCATCATTGTCATTGTTGTTACCAACACCATCATTGTCATTGTTGTCACCGACACCATCATTGTCATTGTTGTCACCGACACCATCATTGTCATTGTTGTTACCAACACCATCATTGTCATTGTTGTCACCGACACCATCATTGTCATTGTTGTCACCGACACCATCATTGTCATTGTTGTCACCGACACCATCATTGTCATTGTTGTCACCAACACCATCATTGTCATTGTTGTTACCAACACCATCATTGTCATTGTTGTCACCGACACCATCATTGTCATTGTTGTCACCAACACCATCATTGTCATTGTTGTCACCGACACCATCATTGTCATTGTTGTCACCAACACCATCATTGTCATTGTTGTCACCAACACCATCATTGTCATTGTTGTCACCGACACCATCATTGTCATTGTTGTCACCAACACCATCATTGTCATTGTTGTCACCAACACCATCATTGTCATTGTTGTTACCAACACCATCATTGTCATTGTTGTCACCAACATCATCATTGTCATTGTTGTTACCAACACTATCACAGTCATTGTTCCCAATTGCGTGGATCAATGCTCATGATATCAATCACTGGATTGTCTGGTCCAGACTCGATTATTTACAGACCACCGTCATATAGCTGGAATATTGCTGAGTGCGGGATAAAACACCAACCACCAACACCATCATCATGAGCATCAAACACAAATATTTTGGTCATCAACACTACATCACAGAAATAGAATAGTGTTATTATATACCTGCCCAAAGGGCATATCCTTAGCATTCTCAAGATGCAATATATATGTTTGACATATTGTCAAAACACATAATGTTTTGGCCATGTCATGCATCTACAATTTCTCTCTGTATCCTGCTACAGCAACTTGGAGTGCCATCCACGCTACACATCAAAGTGTTGGCAGGGCACCCTCTTGATAACAATATTGTTTATCCTTCCTCGTCAGTCTTCATTATAAACATAACTGATTCACACTATGAAATGGCCCACCCTTAAATCAAATTATGCTTTTTAAGCCTTCAGGAGAAGGGTCATGCAGCTTATTAAATGCTATTAGACTCCCTCCTCCTCTGCACTGTGAAACTGATACACTGTGTGTGTTTACGCTACACAAGAGTAAACTAGATTTCGACACCAGGCGTTTGATGTAGCTCACCTAGCTAATGAATCCAAACAGGTATTAACTTTCAAATACAACTGCACACCACCTATTAAGTTTTCTCAATCTCATGTAGACTGAATTCAAAATAGAAAATATTATCTTGACCCTCTGCTTGATGGTCAAGAGATGTAATTATGTAAGTTTGATTGGATGCCTCGGATACAAAGAACATCAGATACCCCACAATGTTTTCAAAACAAGTAAACGCCATATGTGTGCAAATATGAAAAAATATTCTAAACTCTGAATTATCATTATCAGAATATGACACACTGTAAGTGTAAAACACTCCAGCTACTTTGTATTGCAATTCTTGTCATTAAGTTGATCAATTACCTCAAATTAAGTTTTAAAGATGAATAATCTAGTAATTATTTCCTGTCATCAATCATATGCTGTCTATCCCAGACTATACATGATACATCAATTAAATGATTTATAATGGTTCCTCTCTGCTTATCAAAGTACCCCTAGAAGATGGATACCTCCCAAGTTGGAGTAATTGAACTTAACAAGCTGCACTCTTCAACATAAACAATATACTGGGCCTTGTCTGGGGATGCCTCAAGACCATCTTCCTTCTGAAAACAACATCAAACAATTACAAGAGTGAATTTCACACTTTTCTGCTCCAAAAAAAGTCAACGTCTTACTCTGTTGTGCCAAGAAAAAAAACTATCCTGGTAGTTTCCCTGAACATAATTACCTGTCAGAGTGAATCAACTCCTTTCCTACAACTATTGAATACCAGCTAAAACTTCAAAGATGTATCTGGGTATATTTCTACATCAAAGAAGTGTTGTCACTGAAAATTGATTCTGCCAAGACTTGTAATAGTGAGGAAAAACCCCTACATGATAGGTTATAGATTAAGCTTCATTTGTCAGGAAATTTGTAAGAAACAACCTTTAATCAATTATTACCAGAGGGGCATGTCATTATTCCTGTTCTTTCATTGTAAACATCTTGAAAAGACCTGGTGCATCTAGCAGTATGTGTATCATTCTGTTTATATATGAATTGTCCTACCATCAGGCAATAGGTCCTGTATGGGATTTGTCCTTGATGTAAAGAAAAGCAATATTCCGGCCATCAAGCAATAGGTCTACATGGGATTTGTCCTTGGTGCACTAGTAAAAGTAGTCCTGCCATCAAGCAATAGGTCTACATGGGATTTGTCCTTGGTGCACTAGTAAAAGTAGTCCTGCTATCAAGCAATAGGTCTACATGGGATTTGTCCTTGGTGCACTAGTAAAAGTAGTCCTGCTATCAAGCAATAGGTCTACATGGGATTTGTCCTTGGTGCACTAGTAAAAGTAGTCCTGCCATCAAGCAATAGGTCTACATGGGATTTGTCCTTGGTGCACTAGTAAAAGTAGTCCTGCCATCAAGCAATAGGTCTACATGGGATTTGTCCTTGGTGCACTAGTAAAAGTAGTCCTGCCATCAAGCAATAGGTCTACATGGGATTTGTCCTTGATGCACTAGTAAAAGTAGTCCTGCTATCAAGCAATAGGTCTACATGGGATTTGTCCTTGGTGCACTAGTAAAAGTAGTCCTGCCATCAAGCAATAGGTCTACATGGGATTTGTCCTTGGTGCACTAGTAAAAGTAGTCCTGCCATCAAGCAATAGGTCTACATGGGATTTGTCCTTGGTGCACTAGTAAAAGTAGTCCTGCTATCAAGCAATAGGTCTACATGGGATTTGTCCTTGGTGCACTAGTAAAAGTAGTCCTGCTATCAAGCAATAAGTCTACATGGGATTTGTCCTTGATGCACTAGTAAAAGTAGTCCTGCCATCAAGCAATAGGTCTACATGGGATTTGTCCTTGGTGCACTAGTAAAAGTAGTTCTGCCATCAAGCAATAGGTCTTCTTTGGAATTGTCCTTGATGTTAAGTAAAGCAATCTTCCTGCCATCAAGCAATAGTTCTTTATTGGATCTAAAGTAAAAATTCTATTTTGATACTGATAGGATTTGTTCATTTGTGGAAAAAGAAATATTTCTGCCATCCGGCAACAGTTATATATTCCAAGGGATGACTTAGACGTGATTCATACTCATTAAGTAAATCAAAAGATAACAGATAATCAAGTAAATATTGAATTATATTTGTTCCTTGACATCATGCTGTTGATGGACCACTACATTATCATTTGTGATAAATAATTTGACATCGAGGCCAGTTAGCCAAACTGTGGTTCACTTCTAAAGAGATAACATCTGGTTATTTTATGGGATAAACATACATAATCTCAATAATATCCTTGAACAGCTTCAAATTGACTGTTGTTTGTTATGTGCTGCTATTGATGTGTTTGATCTTGAATTCATAAATATCAATGTTATTATTTCAACCTAATGACAATATATCATGTGATGCATTTAATCTATCTTAATGTTATCATGAATGTTCAGAATAAGCTATTTAACCACAATCTGTGGGTAGGATCTGCCATACTGGATCCTCAGGAAAGGTTAATTCAATATTGACATGGTCAACATTTTATCGTAATCTACAACCTTGTCGATCATAAAGGGCAAATTGTGCTTCAAGATACTCTGCTGACAGCCAAAGCAATGGTTCACATTCATGTAGCCATGATGGTTCTTGTACCGCACAGATGAGAAACCTTATTACCAAAATCAGTTCTAATGGAGCAGTAGCTCAATATAATGTCGTTCATAGAAAGTAGTTTATAACTTTGAAGGTCATTCAATTTTCTCCTGGTAAATTATAATCCAAAATGAACTTGCAAATAGCCTTCACAATTAATTCACACATCTTTTATCAATATTAATATTTCTAGAAGATTTTCATTGAAATGTATTTCTACAATAAACACGGACTCTCTATAATGTAATTAAAGTCAAAATAATAATCACAGCAAGATTTGATTTACAGACAGCCCTGAGAGCTTCAGGATACCAATGAAATGAAGTGTGCTCCATGATGACTTTACTCATCATTGGCATCAACAGTATCCAGGCAAACCTTTCTGGTAAGGTGAGTAAACAACATCAACAGGTGATAGAGCAGACCTTCCCCAGTACACCTGTCCATCCCATGTCTGGATTTAATGTGGTCACTTTCACTTTCAGCTTGATCATACAGTGTAGTAGTTCTTCACAAAACACATCATGTCTTTTTTCAGCCATAATTTGAAACTTTGGCAGCTCATAAACATGTAAAACAATTGACATTGGTAGCTTTCTGACAATGTAGTGGTTTAACTTCGATCTATGTTAATATAGTCTCATCCATCAGCTATGATCAATAACCATAAGCTGACTATCAGTCTTGTAATAATGACTTGCAGTGATGCAATTGATGGCTGATAGATAGTCAACACATTCACATGGAATACTGTCGCATTAGCCACAGGGCTATAACCCACATCTGTAGTAAAGTCCCAGGA